GTCCAGGCTGTCTCTGCCCTGCTGAGCCCGCCAAAAGTCCCATTCTGCAAACGGTGCTGCACCAGTTGAGTAGTCCTCGACTTACGACTGGTTAAGTAGTCCTTGACTTACGACCGGTTGGGGGTCGCGGCATTAATAAGGTTGAGAACCACTGCGTTAAACGAATCACCGTGGTGGTTAACTTAGTCACACGGTTGTTAAGTCTGGTTTCCCCGTCCACTTTGCTTGTCGGAAGGTTGTAAACGGGGGACTCCATGGACCCTGCAGCCATCGTAAATATGAGTCAGTTTCCGAGCGTCTGAATTTCACGATCGCGTGACTCTGGGGATGCTGCAAGGGTCTATAAGGGTGAAAAACGTCGCTTTTTTCCAGCGGCGCTGTAACTTTGAATGGCCACTAAATGAGGACTATTGTAATTGTAATTCAAGGACTACCTGTGCAGTGATTTACAAACCATAACTGGCCACACCCGTACAATATTCTAAATATTCTAAATCAAGACCAGCCTAAACATTCTAAATTAAAACCGAACCGACTAAGCTTAGCCCAAGATGTTAGTCCTGACAGCGTCCGCTTGACCGGCATCTTGTATCCTGCTAACCAGGACAGGAATGTCCATGGCAGGGGTCTTCAAACTTGGCCCTTGTATGACTTGTGGACTTCAACTCCCAGAATTCCTCAGCCAGGAATATTTTTACTGTTATTTCATACCTGCCTCCATCTGTAGAAAACTGGATCCCTTTCAATGAATTTGGGGAAACCAAGAGTGGAGTAGTTAAAAAAAAAAAGAAAAAAGAGGCTCAAACTGCAGGCACAACCACAAATCGGAACCTTTTTGCAACGTGCATTGATTGATCAAGACCAGGGGTCTTCAAACTTAGCCCTTTTATGACTTGTGGACTTCAACTCCCAGAATTCCTCAGCCAGGCACGTGTGCCTGGCTGAGGAATTCTGGGAGTTGAAGTCCACAAGTCATAAAAGGGCCAAGTTTGAAGACCTCTGGTCTATAGAGATTCTCAGTCATCCAGGTCACAGTTAACCCAAAGGTGCTTTTTCACGAGGCAATTGGACTTCCTTGTTTTTCTTTGAAGACATTTTGCTTCTCCTCCAAGAGGCTTCTTCCATTCCCCGCCATCCCGTCAGAGCTGAAGGAGCTTCTTGGAGGAGAAGCAAAACGTCTTCAAAGAAAAACAAGAAAGCCCAGTTACCTCGTGAAAAAAGCACTTTTGGGACAGGAGAGGAACGCTCCTGTTCTCCTGCTGCATCAAAGGTGGAGAGGCTCACGAGTGGATAAGCTCAAATGCTTGTAACTAGCTAGAAGGCAAATGGGAAGACAGCAAACTTAAAACAACTGGGGAGGTCTTAGTAAGGGTACTCGCCAGATACTTTGATTAGTGCCACCCCTGCTGGCTGGAGATAAACCGCCCCCAGCCACAGCACTTAGCAATATTAGAGTTTTTCCACATCTGAAAAGAAGCAGATAAGATACACAACAGCAGGAAGCCATTTGGCCAGGCTCACAAAGACCCTTCTATGGAGAGACCCATCAAATGTAGGGAGAACAAGCCATCTGGGAAAACTGAGGTCACCTACAACCTTGAGCAGCAGCAAAGTGATACAAGCTGAAGCTCTTGTGTCTCTGTGTGTGTGATTTTCACAAAGAGAGGTCCTTAAAGGAACAAAAACCGTTTTTCATGACCACGCAATCGTTCATGAGTTTACAGCACTGGAGTTGCAGAATCTGCAAATGTCCGCCGTCTCTATCAGCTTCAGTTTTTCACCGAGCCAACCTCTTTCTATTAAGAGGTTTCTGGAGAAAAAGAAAAGCAGATGGCTATATCTCCAATAGAAAATAGAAGAGAAAGCCAGTGCATTTAATAGAAAAATTCAAAAACCTAAATCCCTCAATTGGGGTTGCACAAAATGCCTGAATTTGAACGGTGTTGAGCATTTGGAAAACTGGAGCAAGACAGAGATAACGGTTCTTTGTCACAACTGTATTAATTTTTCATCGGCTTCTCAACGAGACCATGATTGTTAAGAGCCATTGCCTCAGACAAATGGGAACTCTTAGGCCTTAAAGATTTTCCTGGTCCCCTAAATCAGGGCTTTTCAACCAGTGGTACGGGTACCACTTGTGGTACATTGGCACCTGGCAGGTGGTATGCGACCATCCTAGAAAAGGGGTAGCAGGGGAGGGGAATGAGCTGAACCGGTTGCAGCACCGCACAAGCCTGAGTGAGAGATGGCTGGAGCTGCAGGGCTGTCAGGGCTCAGCGGAAGCACCAGGATCAGCGCTACTTTCCAGCTGATGAGCGCTTCTCCGGGGCTGTCAGGGAGCAGCGGAAGTGCCAGGATCAGCGCCAAGCTCCAGCTGGAGCTTGGCACTGATCTTGGTGCTTCTGCTGAGCCGTGAAGAAGCACCAATCAGCTGGAAAGCAGCACTGATCCTGGCACTTCCGCTGAGCCCAAAAGAAGCGCCGATCAGCTGGAATGTTGCAGCATCTCCAGGGTCTTGTGATTTACATTCAGACGCTTGGCAACTGATTCATATTTATGACGGTCAGAGTGTCCCAGGGTCAGGTGAAGTGACCAAAACCTGCTGCAACCACCCAGCAGATGGGGGGAATTAAAACCAAACACCCCCCCACCCCCACTGCCAATCCTCAATAGAAATGCTCACAACAATGAAAACCTCGGACAGGAGGAAGAGCGCGGCTAGGCGGGCAGGCAGGTGTCTTGCTCATTTGTGGCTTGGGGGGCACTTTTTCAGTGCCATTGTAACTTCGAACAGTCACTAAGTGAATTGTTGTAAGTTGAGGACTACCTGTACTTCATCACTTTTTTCCTTTCCTTTTTTTTAATCATCAAGTTTTTGACACCTTGCTAGGCGACTGGTGGTACTCGGATATTGCCATATCCTAAAAGTGGTACAATGGGTGAAAAGGTTGAAAAGCCCTGTCCTAAATGTTGTCATCTACTCAAGACCACAGTTAGGGAAGTAAATAGCTTGTCAGTTGAAACTGGAATGAGCTATTTTATGCCATTGCTCAAGAGTTAGATGGTTTTGTGGTTTCCTAGTTTACTATGCTATTAGTTTTAACCCTAACCATCATGGAGGCTTGTTTGGGAAAGAAACCACGATCTATCCAGCTGTCACTCTATAATTAACATGTCCAGAACCTCAACTGCAGAACTCTACAGTGATTTTGGTTCTTCCATATTCTCTTTTTATTGTCAAATATGCCAACCTGCAACAACTGACATATTTCTACGGCAACTTCAAGAGAATAAACCACTCTACAAATTATTTATAGGCAACATGTCAAAAATAAAAATATGCAAACATTCTTGAGTTCAAATGGATCTTCAAAAAATCAAGAGTAAGCATTCCTACCTATATTAAGTAGAAATAATTTTGTCTTTTTTCTTGGGTCTTGTGAGTTACCACAAGGAACCACCAAACCAAAGTAAAAGCATAAACACCCCAAAGAGTTTCTTTTTATGATAAAAGTAGCCTGTATATGAGCATTCCAGCTACATCAAAGCTTTCTCTCTCCTAAAGATTGGTTTCTTTAACAATCAAGGAGACTGGATTGATTTTTAAAAATCCATTTATAGTTCAAAAGGCAGATGAGTTTGAAAGACAGATAGGCAGGCCATTCAAACACATCTCAGCTGACTTCACAACCTTAATGCTTTGTGTTCAGCCTTTGACAGGACTTAACATTGATCCGATTGTGGCAATGTTTCTATCAAGGACAATCGTTTACATTTGATGCCTGGACCCTAAGAAGGATCAGGACTTCTTAGTCCTTGAATAGGACTTTGAAATTCTGTCAGAGCAATGGAAAGCATTTTTTTTTTCAACAGCAATTTCCATGAAACTGACATGGTGCTTGTTAAGTAAACCAGTTAATAATAAAGATCAGTTACCCAGGTAATTAAGATAAAGTAGTCTGGAAAAAAACAACAATGAAGAATGAAAGCTGAAAGAAGAAACAAAATGAAATATTGCATCAGATTGGAAAAACTCAGCCTAGAGTAGACTCACTGCCAGAAGAGGCTGCAAGACCACCAACTCCTAAAGCTGGAACAGCAGCTGAAGGAAGGACAAGAAGGAAAAACTAATCAAGGAGAAAACCAAACTAGAACTAAGGAGAAATTTCCTGACAGTGAGAACAATTAATCGGTGGAATTCAGCTTGCCTCCAGAAATTGTGGGTGCTCCATCCCTGGAGGTGAAGAAGAGACTGGACAGCCATTTGCCTGAAATGGTAGAGGGTTTCCTGATCAATCAGGGGGTTGGACTAGAAGACCTCCAAGGTCCCTTTCAACTGTTATTCTGTATATCAGGTTGTGGGAGAAGGCTATCTATGGCTACTAATCATGACAGACAGGTATAGCCTCCCGTTTTAGAGGTAGCCAGCTTCTCAAAATCAGTTGTTGGGGAACACATATCTGTGTGTGTGTGTGTGTGTGTGTGTGTGTGTGTGTGTGTGTGTGTGTAAGAGAGAGAAAAGGAAGATTTCTGCAGGCATAGCCTGCTAGTCAGCTTCCTATTGTCATCTTCTTAGCCACTGTGAAAACAGAACTCGGAGCCAGAGCTTCTGGTCTGATTCTGCACAATTCTTCTCATATAATCTGGATTGCAAGTCAAATAGGAATAATTGCAGTTGATCATCTCTGTTCCCCCTTTGCTGCTTTTTCCTGCCAAACTTTGGACAATTTAAAGATAAAGATTTATATTTTTGTTCTAGTAAGCGACACCCGCTTTACTGCTCAATAATATTTCAATACCCCGAGCTGGATATTGAGCTATGACCTATATGACCTACTATCCAATAAACGTGCTACCTTATGTTCTTGGAAAAAAAAAAGTCCTGAGTCCTTTTCCCTCCCACCTCACAAATTTGCTTTCCCACAGGTTTCTAATTCCAGCATACAGAACAAGCAGCCACATGTTTGTTCCCCCCTTTTCAGGTTAAAAAGCCCACTCACCCCTCTTGTGCATAAAAATGAAGAGATCGTCCAGGAACTTCTTCCGTTCGGGGTCACTATCCAATTCATACAACTGTGGAATAAAGCAAGCGCAATTTAACTTGGGCTGGGCGTAGAAAGGAAAACAAGAGTTCAGAGCCATGTTCAGCGGGTAGAAAGGCACAACTCAACTCAGATTGGAAGTTTCCTCCCCCTTCCCCCCCCAAAAAAAAACCCAGCAGAAAAATATTTGAAGCTCCTGTTTAATGCAGCCTCAGGTTAAAAAAAAAAATCAGGCTGGCGACACAGGTAGTTTGCATTCCAGGCACGGATAATATGGATCTAGAAACCAGGCTAATGTTGCAGCAGGTATCAATTTTCTGAAATGGAGGATTGAAGGTGGTGGCTATAAAGAAAACAAATGTCCTAAACCAGCGTTTCTCAACCTTGCCCACTTTAAGATGAGAAGACTTCAACTCCCAGAATTCCCCAGCCCAGCCAGAATTGTGGGAGTTGAAGTCCCTGCATTTTAAAGTGGGCCAGATCAAGAACCACTTTCCCAAATAATCTGACACAAAGCTATCAAAGCTATCCAGATCAATGGCTCCACCACCAGCACCACAACGCTTGCGAAATAAATCACTGTGGATTTGAAGCCTGGATTACCGTTAAGAGGTACTAAAAATTACAACCCACGAAAGCTAAATAAGGGATGATCAGCCCAGCCAGATCAAGAGATCTATGGAAGCTGATTTGGAAGGAATCCAAGCCTCCACCTAACAAATTGGCGAAAGTGTTACTGTTTGAAAGCTCTTTTTTCAAACCCCTTTGAGATAGCAGTGTCATCCCAGGCAGTAGAGCAGTGTTTCTCAACCTTGACAATTTTAAGGCATGTGGATTTCAACTCCCAGAATTCCACAGCCAGCAATGCTGGCTGTGGAATTCTGGGAGTTGAAGTCCACATGCCTTAAAATTATCAAGGTTGAGAAACACTGCAGTAGAGTTTTTGCAATAGCTTCCACCCTGGATGCAAACGGACAGTCCAAGTTAAGTTGTTGCACTGACCTTGGCAAAATCGCGGGATATCTCTCTTCCTCTGCTACTGTCGGCTTCTTCGCTCCAAGTCATGTTCCCGTTCTGAAGAGGAAGAAAACCAAAAGCAGACAGCTATTAAAAGAAAAGAGCAGGCATCGATGGAGATTCTCCATCATCCAGGACATGGCTGTCCCCAAAGGCAACTAGACTTTCTTGGGTTTCCCCCCCACCCTGAAAACGTTTCGCTTCTCCATCCAAGAAATTTCTTCAGTTCTAACTGACCGTTTATTCAGAACTGAAGAGGCTTCTTGGGCGAGAAACGAAACGTTTTCAGGGGGAAAAAAATACCAAAAAGTCCAGCTGCCTTTTTTTTTTTTTTTGAAAAGCATCTTTGGGCCGAAAGAGCAGGTAAGACCACCAGTGGGTCACTCCCAACAGAGGAAGCATTTAAGTTAAGAAACAGGAATCGGTTAATTGTTACAACCCACCTGAGCTGGTATAAAACTGGAACTAACTAGCTCAGTGTTTCTCAACCTTGACCATTTTAAGGCATGTGGACTTCAACTCCCAGAATTCCACAGCCAGCAATGCTGGCTGTGGAATTCTGGGAGTTGAAGTCCACATGCCTTAAAATGGTCAAGGTTGAGAAACACTGATTTTAACTAGCTTTTCCTCAAAGATGGGCAGTGATTTATAGAAGAGTACTTTGCATGATGTCAGATGTCAAAGGATGGTTTCATTTGCATATATTGGTACAAAAGTTCCAATTCCTTTTTTTTTATTTTTCCCTTTAGTAAATGAACCCAATTCCCACATTTTCGCAACTTCTCATGTTGTAAGGCAGCTTTCCCTACTGAGCATGCAATTCTTGTCCAACAGGCCAACCAGTGGAAATTCTGCAGATTCAAAACTTCTGGAGAATGCCATTAATACAATATCAGATCGGCGGTGGACTCCCATGTCAAGCTCTGCCATAATTACGGTTTGTTGGATTTGGACTTAGCATTTTCAATGAAAACATGACAGCATCCACTCTGGTTCATAACTTAACATGTGAAGCAAGCCAGCTATTCAATAAACAATCTTGGTTCACCAGAACACCTTGCTGACGTAAGTCCTTTGCTATTGGCTGCAGAAAGGCTCAAGAAATGGCATTTTTCTGTTCCTATTCATTCTTCTCTGTATGCAAGACAGACTGTGAGAACCAATAAAGGAGAATATTTGTAGCTCAAGGCCTTGGTGCTCTCTGAGCTTGGTTATTTTCTTGCAGACATTTCATTACCTGATTAGGTAACATCATCAGTGTTAGTACAGATGATGTTGCCTAGTTTGACTAATGAAATGCCTGCAAGAAAACCATCAAGTTCAGAGAGCACCAAGGACCCCTCAGACTGTAAGAAGTTGAACACAATCAACTGTTATGGAACGTGAATCCTGGACTTCATAGGTTTAAGATAGGGGTGGAGAACGATGGCCCTGTTATGACTTGTGGACTTCCACTCCCAGAATTCATGAAGCCCACAAGTCATAAAGGGGCTATGGTTCCCCACCTCTACTCTACGACAAACTTTCCTTCAGCACAGACCTCCTTTAAATACTTTTTGTGGCCACAGACCATGGCCAAAGACCCCCAAGATTTAAGATTTAAATTATAATATTTTGTTCGAGCCTTCACGGACCTCCTGTGACAACATATGGCCCCAGGGATTCGTGGACCACAGGTTGAGAACTACTAATTTAAGAGGCTAAACTCTCCCAGGGGTTTCTGTCACAGCCCAAGCAGTGGTCACACCAGGAGGCTATGGAAGAGCAGTCCTGACTTTCTAACGATTGTGGGAATGGAAGGATGACTACTACGGCCCTCCCAACTGCCAACATTGCAATGCAAAAATGCCCGGGCAACAGGCAAAAAGCGAAACCAATAAGGTCAAATGCCAGGGGATGTGTGTGACCCACCATCTGCTGGTAAGCACACAGGATCTTAAATCAGATGAAAAGCCACTGAATGCAAGGAGGGGTTACCAAACAAAAACAGTTTTTAATTAGAGCCACTTTAATGCTCACAGTTTAGTGTCATCTGACACTGACACACACACTGAATTAACAAGATGAATAGCTCGGGGATGGGCAGCATGACTGACTGACTGACTCACACACACATACACACACCAATCTTTTGAATGGCACAGGTTGCCTTAAAGCCTGCTGGTTTTATTTGAGCCAGCAATTCCGGCTGAAAAGTCAATTATCCAGTGAGGCCCATCAGCCGAAATATATTTAATGGAGGATTATGACTGCTTCTGTTGTGTCAGCTGTTTTGTTGCAGCTGTTGCCTTTCTTGAGCCAACTTCAGAAACAGCTACAGATACAAATCTCATCTTGACAAGCAGGACAGCTAAAGGTTCTCCACCCAACTCAAGTGGCCACTCACAATACCGGCGTCCCAAAATGCAAGTTAGCATCCTGATACAGGCACAAGTAGTCCTCGACTTACAACACTTTGTTTAGAGACCGTCCAAAGTTACGGTGACACTGAAAAAAGTGACCTACGGCCGCTTTTCACACTTATGACCACCGCACCATCCTGTGGTCGCGTGATCCAAATTCAAATGCTTGGCAACTGACTCATACTTACGACGGTCGCAGTGTCCCGGGGGTCATGTGATGATTCCCTTTTGCAACCTTCTGACAAGCAAAGTCAATGGGGGATTCACTTAACAACCAGGTCACTAATTGAACAACTGCAATGATTCAGTTAACAACCGGGGCAAGAAAAGTCGTAAAATGGGGCAAAACTCACTTCACAAACGTCTCACTTAGCAATGTAAAATTCTGGGCTCGACTGTGGTCGTAAATCGAGGATTACCTGTAGAGTTGTTAAGCTAGTGTTGTTTTAATAAGATTTATATTATGACAGGACTTTTGGACTGGAAGGACTTTTTTTTCCGTCTGTTTTTGGATTCTTCTGCCCCTCTTTTCTCTGAGGTGGCTTTCCCCCCCCCACAGTTCATTATTTTATTAATAGAGATGTGACTTAAATATTGATAAATTCAGTTTCCCCACCCATTCCATTATTGTATTGATCGCTTCTTCTGCAAAAATCTAAATGGAAATTGCAAAGATTCCTTGTAACAATAACAATAAGCACTTCAAAATATAAGAATACGTTATTTATGATTTATTATTAGACCCATTGTAGCTTTCTGTTTAACTCCTTATGGCATCTTCCTACTGTTTTTTTTCAGTAATAAAAGAAAAAAACATTATTGGCAAGGATCCGTAGGTATTCCAAAGCGCAAAGAGCCACGTTGGTTGGAAAAAGAAGCACTACTGAAACGACAGCACATAGGACACAACAGTACTATTTTTAGAAGCTGCAATTACTGGTGTGTAATTTGGGGGGGGGGGATTTTATTGATTTTCTAGTTTTACATTTAAATATTTGAAAAGCAACGTGGCGGCTGAGTTGATCAATAATTCAATAACATACAGTCTGAGGTGGCTTCTTATTTGCCTAGTGATATGCTGGCTAAAAATATTAACCTTTCACCGGGAACAGAAGAACAGCAGCAACAAAACCAAGGCAGGTGAGTATTGCGCAAGACTGGAGGGAAAATGGAACAAGGGAGATATTTAGTGCTATTTGCATGGGTGGCATTAAGAAATTTTTCTTTTGAATATTATACAACGGTGGCAAGAAAGGTTGTGAAATGGTTGCAATGCTCACTTAACAACTGTCTTGCACAGCAACAGAAATTGTGATCATAGGTTGAGGACTTCCAGTATAGACCCAGTCCCACAAGCCACCTGATTGTACAAAACTAGTGACAAGGTACAGACAATGGAACAAGCTGCATCGATTGGAGCTGGGATAGAAAAACAACATTTCCATCCCTCGTTTAGTCAAAAGCGTGATTTAAGTTCTCTTATTGAAACCGCACAATATTAACATTTACGTTTCTGGGATTATTATTTTTTTTAAAATTTGCCCAATTTAAAATGTTTATTTTTTTTATTGTGTGTACCTTGCAACTGGCTCTGTGCTGCCCTTACCACATAGTAGCAAATTTCAAATGTTTATGATAGGAAATAAACACTGTTGCTGTTTATATCTCAAAACAGGGCAAAAACATTTCTCCTCTTCCTAAGAGGAAAATCAGCTCTGCCTTTATCTTCAAGGAAGTGACCAGGCTTAGCATTTTGTGTATATAGAGAGGAAACACAGTAAAAAAATGACAATGAAGGTTGTCTAATCTAATCTAATGTAAAAAAAAAAAACCTATCAATTGTGCTGTGCTTTCTCTGCCACGGCAAATGAGCAGGCTTTGCACTGTGGGGGGGAAAAATGGGAATTGTCTAGTCAGTAACTTTGAATAATTGTTTAATTGCTGTACTGCATTTATTTTCAAATCACTTTAAGTGTGACCACAAGCAGTTGAATGACAGAGTTGGAAGGGACCTTGCGAGGTCTTCTAGTCCAGGGCTTTTCAAGCAGTGGTACGGGTACCACCTGTGGTCCATTGGCACCTGGCAGGTGGTACGCGACCATCCTAGAAAAGGGGTAGCAGGGGAGGGGAATGAGCTGAACCGGTGGGAGCACCACACAAGCCTGAGCGAGAGACGGCTGGAGCTGCAGGGCTGTCAAGGCTCAGCAGAAGCACCAGGATCAGCATCAGGATCCAGTTGGAGCTCGGCCTGATCCTGGTGCTTCTGCTGAGCCCTGAAGAAGCGCCGATCAGCTGGAATGTTGCAGCGTCTCCAGGGTCTTTTGATTTACATTCAGATGCTTGGCAACTGATTCATATTTATGACGGTCACAGTGTCCCAGGGTCATGTGAAGTGACCAAAAGCTGCTGCAACTACGCAGCAGATGGGGGGAATAAAAACCAAACACCCCCACTCCACCCCCTGCTGCCAATCCTCAACAGAAATGCTCACAACAATGGAAACCTCGGACAGGAGGAAAAGCGCCGCTGGGCGGGCAGGCAGGTGTCTTGCTCGGCTGTGGTTTGGGGGGGGGGGCACTTTTTCAGTGCCATTGTAACTTCGAACGGTCACCGAGCAAACTATTGTAAGTTGAGGACTACCTGTACGTCCCTTTT